GTTATGAATATTGAAAATGTATGTTGCAATTATATGAATATGTATGTTAAAATGTTGCAATCACTTGTAGAAATTGTATAAAATCCTGTCATTTCACTGGGAAGGGGGAGCGATTTTTCCAGGACGACCTGACCGTTCCCTGGGCGCTCCGGAGGCCCGCGAAATAAACATACCTCCTGCTTAAAGGCTACAAACTTTGTCTCTAAGCAGAATTTTTCCGTTCGTGCCTTTTTGGGGGCAAAATCTTGGCATCAATATCCAACCTAAACTTCCCCTGGCAGAGCTTGTCCTACTGCTGGTTGCCTGGGAGAAGAGACCAACCCCCACCTGGCTACAACCTCCTTTCAGGTAGTTGTAGACAGTCATGAGGTCTCCCCTGAGCCTCCTCTTCTCCAGGCTGAACAAGCTCAGCTCTCTCAGCCTCTCCTCATAGGACTTGTGCTTGAGTCACTTCACCAGCCTTGTGGCTCTTCTCTGGACCTGCTCCAGCACCTCAATATCCTTCCTGAAATGAGGGACCCAGAACTGGACACAGTACTCCAGGTGTGGCCTCACCAGCACTGAGTACAGGGGAAGAATCACTTTCCTGATCCTGCTGACCACACTGTTCCTGATACAGGCCAGGATGCCATTGGCCTTCTTGGCCACCTGGGCACACTGCTGGCTCATGTTCAGCTTCCTGTCAATCCAAACTCCCAGGTCCCTTTCTGCCTGGTTGCTCTCCAGCCAGTCTGTGCCCAACCTGTAGCACTGCATGGGGTTCTTGTGGCCAAAGTGGAGGACCCGGCACTTGGCCTTGTTGAACCTCATCCCATTGGAATCAGCCCAACTCTCCAGTCTGTCCAGGTCCCTCTGAAGAGCCCTCCTGCCTTTCAGCAGATCAACACTCCCCCCCAACTTGGTGTCATCTGCAAATTTGCTAATGGTACACTTGATCCCCTCATCCAGATCATCAGTAAAGATATTAAATAGAACTGGGCCCAACACTGATCCCTGGGGCACACCAGATGGCCTCTGACTACCACATCACCCACCAACCCCTCTCTGTTTGTGAACAGCAGGTCTAGCGGGGCCCACCCCTGGTGGGCTCATTTACCAGTTGAAGTCAGAAATTATCCTCTGTACACTCTTGTCTGCTGTGTTGAGTTTCCAGCAGACATCCGGCAGGTTAAAGTCGCCCACAAGAACAAGGGTTGGTGATTTTGAGACATCCACCAGTTGCTTGTAGAATAATTCATCACCCTCATCATCCTGATTGGGCGGTCTGTAACAGACTCCCACCAGGATGTCAGCCTTGTTGGCCTTCCCCTTGATTCTGATCCACAGGCACTGAACCTTATTGTTACTGACCTCAAGTTCTACAGAGTCAAGAGACTCTCTAACATATAGAGCCACCCCTCCACCTCTCCTACCTTGCCTGTCCCTTCTGAAGAGCTTGTAGCAACCCATGGTAGCACTAAAGTCATGCGAGTCATCCCACCACATTTCCGTGATGGCAACTACATCATAGCTTTCCTGCTGCACGATGACTTCCAGCTCCTCTTTTTTGTTACCCATACTGTGTGCATTGGTGTACATGCACACGATACTTTTAGCAGGATTCACACAGTGAATTTTTATTGCCGGTGTAGCCTAAAGACACTGCGGAGAAAAAGACTCCAGGTCAATTTAGTGTATAAGATAAAAAGAGCGGGTCCTTTAATCAGGCCCACAGGCCCAGGGGAATACACACGACATGTGCGCACCCAGGCAGTGGTTCTATAATTTTATAATAAGGTCCGTCCAATCTCAGAACTATCCACCCCCCGGTTCTGCCCAGTTCTGCCCCCCGACATGACCCTTCGGGAATTGGGTTTGGGGTCTTTTGGGACCCCTTCTTCCTCATCTTCATCTTCTTCACAGCACGTACAGTCCTTGGAGCTCCTCCAAAGTTCTTAGTTTGAAGGTTGCTGTGCCTGTGTGATATCTTCTGGTCCAGGCCTAGGGTGCGATGTTCTTAAACAAAGCTGTTTTTCTACAATTCTACCTTGAAAAGGAGTCTAAACACACTAAAGGAATTTAGAAAGTTTGATATAAAATGGGGTAATAGGGTTGGGTATTTGTAAACTACTATGCTAAAGGGTAAGGAATTATACAATTACATTAAAATCTACACTTACTATACAACTACTTCTAAAATCTACAAAAGTTAAAAAATCCAAAAATCTCTGAGACATCACCTGTCTCTGTGTAGGGGGTTGGAGTATCTATTTGTAACTATCACTTCTGGTGTCCATGCGTGGTTCAAAAAAAAAAATTCTAGTGCATTTGTAGTTCTGTAACAATACAGGCTTTCCAGATCAGTTTTACTCAGTCTGAACAATTCACAAACTTTAAAGCAACACAGGTTTTCTTGAATCTAGTGAGAAAAAAAGTAATCCTTGTAGTGTGTATATTACTGCTTTGTGTAGTTAACACATTAACCTAATGGGTTTGCTTAGCCTCAATTTTAGATTCTCCCCCCTCCCCCTCAATGTTGACCTACTAATGCAAGTTTAACTGATACCTATTGGATAGCTTGGGTTCAAGTTTGTGGAGCTTGTGAGTTCTGTAACCCACGAGCTCTTTGTAAAACATCACTTTCTGAGAATAATGAGCTGCTATAGAATAAAAGTAAACTAAACATACTCTGCACTGAGTAAAAAAAGAATCTTGTCTCTGAAACTGCTGGGACTCCTAAGCAAAGCAATGAGTGTTTGAATTGTACAACTGTACTTCATTGCTGAAACTGAAACAGGAGCCAGGCCTAAAAGAGTTAACTGAGATATCTTGGCCTGCTAAGAAACCTCAATACCTGTTTTGCTAGAAGAACATTTTAGGAGCACTGGTTAATATCATGTTCTGTTCTGCTCACTGGACCAAAGGCCTTATTATAGAAAGAATAGGAGTAGTACATACACAGTAATAAATTAGGTAAAGTAGACGTTTGAATAAGATCTAGAAGGCCCAGAGCCAGGATTTTGCAAGCTTGAAGAATTCAGGTCACCTAACTGAAGAGGTCAAATTGAGGAAGACGTCCATGGTGACCACCAGAGGGATGAAGGCTTGAGGAGAAGACCCCCAAAGTAGAAGACTGCGCATGTCTGGAAAGACTCCACCCAGAGACCAGCCTACTTATTAATATGTATAATAAATGATGTAACCATGTATCTAAAGTGTATAAAATGGCTTAGTTTTGCACTTGCAAGTTGAGCAAGTTTGTCCAGCGCAAGCTGGCTTGCTCCCAATGTTGAATAAACAAATACCTTGCTGCTTAAAGATAAAAAAGTCTCTGAGCAGTTTTTCGGGCCGATTTTTCGGATTCAAAACTTGGGAGGGGGATGGCATTGTAGAATCAATTCTGGAAATGTCTGTAGGCAGTTCTTTGGTCTCCTGCAAGAGGTGAAAAACCCTTTATGACTATTGAAAACTTTTAGCTAGGATGAGCTGTAGAGCTAGGGAATATAAGATCTGGGTTATTCCCACTTACTGAGTAAAAGTAGGTTCCAGTTAAATGGTTTCTAGCTTCAAACTTGCCTTTATTCAAAATGGAAGGAGAAAGTTGATCAGTCTGGGAATATGGGAATTCTTGTTTTGAATGGACTAAATGGAGGCTTAAGACTTTTTCCAAGGCCACTTTAGATTTTGGAAGTAGTATGTTCCAGAGCCATTATCCTCAGCAGGGACACAGCTGTCTCATGAAAGCTTATTGGACAGTAACTGATTATCTGATAGCTAGTAAAAAATGTTATCCTGACATGAGATTTGCCTGAAAGGCTTCTTAATGACAAAATTCATGATAAAAATTGGGTCAAATACTATGCAAATAAGAGGTGATAAATTGCCCTTTTGTGCAGACTTTTTGTCCTTGTTCCGACCAGGACAGGGTTAACTTTTGCAGTAACCATGAAGGGGGCATGGCCAGGACCCAGAGGTTATTCTATACCACCTGACGTCATTTCCCAGGGACGGAGAAAGGAGTACCTTCCAGGTTGGGGTGGCAGAGGGAGCAGTCAGGTATTGTCAGGAGTTTCTGCAGGGGGTGAGCAATAATGTTTCTTTTCTTGCACACTCTGCCATTAGTATTGTTGCTGTTACTGTTCATTTTCTCATGGCATTGCTTTTTCCAGTAAATTAGTATCATCTCAACCCATGATCATTACCTTTTGTGCCTCCAATTCTCCTCTCCAGCCCTGCACAGGGGAGGGGGAGGGAAAAGTGAGGGAGCAGCACATGGTTTGGAGTGGTTTAAGTGGGAACACTAAATTGGAGAATACCATTCCTAAACCACAACACTTTTGTTCCCTAATCAAAGATGAACTTGAACAGGATACTTGTTTCTAAGTTTAGACTTGTGACAAAGTTGAGATACATTTAAAAAAAATAGAAATAAGAACTTGTGGTAAGAAGCTGAGTGAATCAAAAGGAATCATATCTACAATAGGGGAAAAAAAAGTTAATTGAGTATTACAGTGGTTATAGCCCTTCCCCTTAGTATTCAACAGTGTACAGGTATTTCTGATCATGTTATTTAGTCCCTAGTCCCTAAAGCCTCACAAAATCTAAGCAGAAATGCTCAAAAATATTATTATGCATATGCCCCTTGCTGCACTAACAGCTTGCGTGGCTTCAGAGCACAGTAAAAACTGACCTGAACATCTTACTGTATAATAATAAAAGGTCTTGTGTGATTCAACTGGTGGGGTAAATCCATAGTGGAATATAAAACATGGTCAAAGAAAAAAACAAACAACCC